CCCGCACTGGAGCGACTTTGGCATGGATGACGCGCACTCAGACAGCCCTGATGAGCCAGCAGAGCCCTTGGGTGGACAGCAGGAGACGCAGTAAATGGTTTGAGCGACCTCACCTGCCTTCCCCAGGACCTGCAGCCCCCTCTGGAGGAGCTGCTGCTGGCTGAGCCAGTGGGAGGCAGGGCTGGCAGGACTGGGGATGTGCTGGGAACACGGCTTTGTCCTTGGCTCTGTGGTGTCTGGGGCTCGTGTGCTCTCTCCCTGATGACTCTCAACTGTCCTTGATGTCCCAGGCAGCGTGTTTGTGTAGCTCTTCTCTTTGGAGAAGAGATCTAGTGGTTAGTGAAACCTGCGTTTCTTATTCCCGTGGCCCTTTGCTCTCCAATTGGAGTGGTAGCAGGGCTTGGTTAGGTCACAGTGCACAGTGTTATTGGTACATTCCTGGCCTTGGGCAGGGTGGGATGTGCTGGCTGTGATGTGTGCAGCCTCAGACTGGGAGTGGGGAGCCGGCTGCTGCCCAGCAGATCCCTTTGGGTCAGCCCTCTGTGTGGAGGCTGCATTTCCCCAGCGGCAGCAGCTCTGTGCAGCTCCTGGTGGTCTCAGCTGCACGGAACCCACAGCAGGCTGCAGATGCTCTGCCCTCACCTGGGTCCTGCTGGCAGCATTTGCCCCCCAAGCTGCACGCAGCTGGGACAAATAGAGACAAAACCCACCCAGGAACGAGGGAACAGTTTATCACCCCTGCCTGCTTGTGCAGCCACCCCTTCCAGATGGGATTCTGCAGCAGAACAAACCTTTTCCACACGTTGATAGCACAGTGGGGGAACGTGGGAGCAACAGGGGAGGAGAACGGGGGACTCACAGCCAGGAGGGAGGGAGCTCAGAGCGACGCAGCGTGCAGCTGCCTTGCAGTGGGTGTCTGGCAACGCTTGGGCCCTGGTTACTTTTGCTGCTGCTCCCCTGTGCTCTCCTGCACCTTTTCCTATACCCTGAGCACTGGTAGAGGCAGAGCCGACGTGCTCTGACTTGAAATAAAAACAAAGTAGAAGAGGCTTGCTGCTTGCTGGTGATGTCTGTCCTTGCTGTGTGGGTGGAGGGAGCCAAGCAGGGCCGAGGCCAAGCTAATTGGAGATAGATGGCTGGAGGGAACAGAGCTGCTGATTGCACCTCTCCCTATAGGGCTGCCCCTGCTGGTGCAGCTCACTCGGAGGGAGAGGTGAGAGGGTCCACAAAGCAGAAAGCAGGAGGGAGGGTCGCACTGTGAGATCTGCAGGGCTTGGGGTGGTTGTCCTCACACAGAGGTTTGGGTTTGCAGAGGAGGGAGGGTTGGAAACCCGTCGTCATGTGGCAGCCGAAATGTCAGGAGAAGTTCATGGTGAAGGCTGGCAGCTGCTGGTGCCATTGGCTGCCCCCCTTCATACATATTCATGTCCGCTGATGAGCGTGCAGCTCCAAATGGCTCAGCTGCGAGGCCAGCTGTGGCCATAGACCGCACAGCATCCTGCAGGCATCGCTCCTTCGGCCAGGGCTGCAAAACCTGAGCACGGCACTCAGCCTGGAGCCGCAGCCCTGCTCCGGGCATCCCTCTCTCCATGCCCTGCCAGGAGCTGGCCAGCCCTGGGGCTTCCCTTTGTAAGTGATGGAGATCCAGCAGCCCTGCAAGCAGAGCTCGGTCCTCCTGCAGGGTGCCCATCCTTCCCCCTGGGGGGTGCAGCTGCTGCCCCGGTGTTGGCTGCTTGTCAGAGCCAGGCGGAAATTATTTTTAGTGGTGTTGATCGACTCTGCAAAGCTGTCGGGAAAACAGTGACTCATTGGGAGGCAGAACCGTGGAGGGTGGGGGGGGGGGGGGGGGGGGGTGGGGAGGGGGGGAATAGCCGCCCCGGTGCTGAGTGCAGAGCAGAACAGCGCTGCTCCCGCACTGCTGTGGCCGTAGGAATGGCTGGGGATGGGATCCAAGACGTGCAGGGATGGTTTCGTGCGGGGCCTGAAGGTGATGGATGGGGGTGCCAGGTCTCTCTGCCACGCATGGAACCGATGTGGGGGGAGCGCAGCCGGCTGTGGCTTGGGGTTTGCTCCGGGCTTTGAAGCAGCTGCGGTGGGCACACGGAGCAGCTCAGGGCAACCCCCCCCCCCCTCCTTCTTCCCCGCAGCCCCGCACGTCTCTCCGCTCCCCGCCGCTGCCAGGAGCAAAGCTCGCCGCCTGGACGCGATCCAGGCTCTCCAGACAGCGCATCCTCGCCTTCCACGCCCGCCCCGGGGAAAACTGTCTCAAATCTGTGCAAACAAACCACGGCGTTGTGCGTCCCCCCCCCCTCCCACCCCCCCCCCCCCGCCAATCTCACTGCACGCACCCACCGCTCCGTGTCCCCGGGGTACCAGGAAGGGGGTTGATGGAGCAGGGCAGGATCCAACCCCCGTGGTGTAAAGCGGGGTGAGCACCGTGCTGCAGTGCACGGAAGCCCTGGGAAAGGCTCTCTGCTGCTTTGGATCTGGAGGAAGGTAAAGGGCAGCTGCCGGTGGGCCGGGGTAGGGGTTGGGGGCGGGGGGGTGGGTTGTGAACGTACACCTTCATCTCCTCCCTCCGCACACCCCCATCCCAGAGGTCCCTCCGTGCCCAGCTGAGCTCTGGGCATCCCAAATCCATCCCAAAGGCCCGAGGTCAGTACTACTAGAGAGCCCCGCATCAACGTTACCCCGCTTCTCAGCCCCCCATCCCCCCCCTTACCCCCTTTCCAGCCCCCCACCGCCGGTGTCGCTCCCCCGGCCGGGCGGTGCGCGGGCCCAGAGCGCCACCTGGCGGCTGCACGGCGTAGTGCAGCTTGGAGCGGATAAAGCGGGGAGGGGGTGGGGGGGGGGAGCGCGTTTATTGCGGACCCCCGGCCATGGGGGGGGGGGCTGATGATGCCCGAGTACCGAGGGGTGCGCAGAGTCCGGAGCAGCGGGTGGTGGCACGCAAAGCTCTTCTTGTAACGGGTTCTCAAGGCTGGGGAGGGTCCTTGTGGCATCGCAGCGTGGGCAAGGGGAGGGGTGAGCGCCTGGATTTGGGGAGGGGGGAGAGAAACGGTGAGTGTGGGGAAGGGGACGCAGGGTAGGGCTGTGGGTCACAGAGAGGACACGAAGGTCTCCTTGCCCAGGGGGCGGTCAGGCGGCAGCTGACCCCCTGCTGTCCCAGCCCCACTGCTGGGCTCCATTTCCCCGTCTGCCAAATGCCTCCCTATCTATGGGCTTTGGGAGAATAGCCCAGTGCTGCTGTCAGTGCAGGTTGCAGCTGTCACATACAGCTCTCAGGGTCTGACAGAGGCAGCTGCGGTGGTTTTGGCACAGCTTTCTGCCATAGAACTGAACGGAGCTGAAATCCAGGCAGGGACGCTGCACAGAGCCCCCATCTCTCGGGTGAACATCTGAAGGTCACCACGTCCCCACAGCCCTGTCATTCCCAGCCCCACACATGCATCCCCTTCCACAGCTGTTCTGGGCACGGTGGCATTTTCTCTGACCCATGCCTGTTTCCCAGCCCCACCACCTTCCTTCTATGTAAAACAGAAACCAGAAGATGGAGCCAAACTGTCCTGGGAGAGAAAGGAACAGCGCTGCCTCCCCATCACACAAACCCCGGGCTGCCACCTCTCACCTGGGCACTTCCATCCTCACCGCTCCTCCAGCTCGTAAGCAGCTGCCAGGTAATCCTTGGGGACGATCCCGACGGTGCTGTTGAGCTCCCCGACCCACCAGCCATACATGTTGTACTCCTGGGGAGGCACAGCAGAATTAGGGTTAATGCCAGGGGCAGCGGGCGCAGCTCTGCTCCCTTCCTTTGGCAGCTGGGTTCACACAGACCCGTTTCTCTCCCCTCTGAGTCCCACTTGGCTGCCCTTCCTCACCCCATCCTTCATCCCTTACCCTTCGCTTCCCATGGGATGTGGGTCAGTGCAAGAAAGGGGGGGGGGGGTTTGCACCCCATACTCTGGCGCAGCCCTTTCCCTCAGCCCCTTCCCATGCTTTGCAGGCAAAGCAGGAAAAAAAATCCCATTGCAAAACCAGAAGAAAAGAAAGCAGCTCTGTTTGGAACCTCTATGGGCACAGCAGGAGCCCTGGGCAAAGCAGCCCCAGGCAGGAGCTGCACCCCACGTGCAAAGGGGACCCCCCAGCACCCAACCCCCCAACCCCAGCTCTGCCACAGCCCGAACACTATGAGGTATTTTAAAATAATTTCTGCTTTGATGAATTGCTGGCTAGCCCACGATTGCTCATCATCAAAGGGAGGAAAATGCAAATGAGAGCCAGCCGAGAACTCGCGGCACCAAGCGTTTATTTCACTGCACAGTGCCAAAAAGAATTAAAACAACATTAAACTCCCAGCAATAATGTTTAAGTCCTCGTTTCCAAGTGCCAAATTGCACCACTCTGGATCATACAGATGTTCGTTAATTATGCTAATTTTTATTAAACTATTAAAACGAGGAGTGCACTGGCACAGCAAGGCAGAGCCCAGTGCAGGGTGAACTCTGCTCTCGTCTGGAGGTGCTCATTTACATCTCACTAACGTGCTGATGCTTGAGACGAGGCTGCAGTGCTCGGGTTTTGGAGAGGGGAGGGGAGGAAGAGGGAGTTTGAGGGTTGGTTTTACCTAATTACACGCTAATGGGGCCTCTGTGCTCAATACCTGCATGGACTGGGTTGGATGGGGGGGTGGGGAGGAAGTAATTTAGCTGAGACTTTACAGAAGGGGCTGCAAACTCACGAATCTGGCAGATAATTGGTCAGCTGTGCGTGCAGCTCAGTGCTGTGGGCAGGGGGGAGTTTGGTGCTCTGTCCCAGTTGCCTATGGGCACCCAGCAGGGCCGTGGCACCCAGCAGCACTGGAAGCCAATCCTACCCCCTAGGGCCCCTCTCTGCTCCTGTCATGCAGCTCCTCTCCATCTCAGCGCTGCTGGAACTGTCAGATTCACTCCCAGGATGAAGAACCCCCCCTTTCCCCCCCCAGGCACTTTCTGCATTTCGTTCTCTGGTGCCAATGGAAGCCAAAAGCAGACACTCGTTCTGATAATCACCAGCAATCGGGGGCTCTTATGGCAGCCCATAAAAGGATTGATGCTGCTGAGCTCCATCCGCAAGGGAAAAAGAAGAGGACAGAGGGGAAATGAAACAAGACAACCACCACAAAAAAGAAACAAACCCAAAACCCAAACCAAGCCAAACCCCAACCACAAACCACTGCCACCAAACCCATGAACAAAGCCAGCTGGGGACACCTCCATGCTCTTTGGGAAGCTCCAAGTGCCCCATCCCACTCTTCTCTTCTTGCTGAGGCTCTGTGGGCTCTCCGTGGGGTTGAAATGTACCCCCGAGCAGCACTCCCAAGCCCTCCTTGCCTTTACACTCCTTTGCCAGCTCTCATAAACAACCCCTCTGGGCTCCGGGAACGCCATTCATCACCTCGCTTCGCACAGAAGATCAATGACGCTTTGATGGATGCAGAAGGAAAAGCCAATCAGTCAGAGACTTATCGGTTTATGATTGCTCAGCCCCATTATTAGTGCTTGTGTGTCATACATTATTGTTAGGAAAATGGAGGAATCTAATTCATCGATGAGGTACGAGGGGTCGGCTGACACCGGGGAGTTTTATACCAGGTCAGCTGTATGTCTAAAAGCAGCTCAGGGCTGTGGCAAGCTCTGAAATCCAGGCTCTACCCATCCACAAGGGCCTGCCTGTCCCCAGGGAACTTGCAGCATGGGGTGCAGCTGGGAGCTCCTTTCCCCACACACACAGAGCAGCTTTCTCTATGGAGGAGCAGCTCAGGTGCTGCTCACCACAGCCTGGCGCTGCCCCCTTCACACACCGCTCCTTTAAACCACAAATGATTCCCCCTTGCTCCCAGTGACTCAGCTCTCAGATGTTGCAGGAGTGGAGGTAATGGGGCATTGCTCTTTCCCCTCGTCCCATGTGCTGTGGATGTGGTGCCCGGCCCCACTGGTGTTCCCATCGTGTCCATCCCATTGGGGTCTGCATATCCATCCTATTGGGGTCCCCATCTCCATCCCTTCAGGGTCCTCATCTCCATCCCATTGGGGTCTGTGTATCTATCCTATTAGAATCCCCATGTCCATTGCACTGGGGTCTGTGTATCCATCCTATTGGGGTCCCTATGTCCATCCCATTGGGGTCCCCATATCCATCACACTGGGGTCTGCTTATCCATCCTATTGGGGTCCCCATCTCCATCCCATTGGGGTCTCCATTGCCTTGGGGTCTATGTATCCATCCTATTGGGGACCCCATGTCATCCCATCGGGGTCTGCATATCCATCCTATTGGGACCCCATGTCATCCCATTGGGGTCCCCATCTCCATCCCATTGGGGTCCCCATCTCCATCCTATTGGGGTCCCTATGTCCATCCCACTGGGGTCCCCATCTCCATCCCATTGGGGTCCCCATCTCCATCCCACTGGGGTCTGTGTATCCATGCCATTGGGGTCCCTATCTCCATCCCATCGGGGTCCCCATCTCCATCCCATTGGGTCTGCATATCCATCCTATTGGGGACCCCATGTCATCCCACTGGGGTCTGTGTATCCATGCCATTGGGGTCCCCATCTCCATCCCTTCGGGGTCCTCATCTCCATCCCATTGGGGTCTCCATTGCCTTGGGGTCTATGTATCCATCCTATTGGGAACCCCATGTCATCCCACTGGGGTCCCCATCTCCATCCCATTGAGGTCCCCATCTCCATCCCATTGGGGTCCCCATCTCCATCCCACCGGGGTCCGCATATCCATCCCATCAGAATCCCCACATCCACCCCATTGGGCTCCCCATGCCCCAGCCCAGGGGGAAGCCGGAGGTGGCAGAGATCTGATGGGACGGGGTGGTGATGTGAAGAAGCCGTATTAATATTTATTCCACCCAGCAGCTCCGCGCGGCTCCGCCGTGCTCTGACCGCAGCACCAACCCTCAGGCACCGCAAACACAATTTGAAAACAATGTGACGGAAATGTTTAATCTGCTCAGCCCATCTGTGCTGCGTATTTCTCCAGATCTCCCTGAGAGAGGCGCCTTCGAATCTCCACATTGCCTTTAATATTCTCCTAAATCACCTCCCCACCGCACTTCAAGGGCCATTGCTACAATATCACAGGTTCACCGAGAGTGCACGGGAGAAGGGGGGGGGTGGGGGTGTGGGGATGGGGATGGGGGTGTCGGCGGGGAGATTTTTTATCTTAAAGTATTTCCCAGGGTTGGTGTTCCTGTGCCCCTCGGACAGACGTAGGGAGAGGAGAAAAGGAATAAGGGGTGAGGAGAAAGGAGGTGGAGGGGGGTGTGTGAGGGGGAATTGGAGTGAAGTTATTGTGCCGTTGCTGGGGGGGCGACCGGCGCGGCTGTTCAGAACCAAACAGGCTGGAATGGTGCTGAAATCTTTCTTGAAGAATTGTTTTTATGCATCTCTTTCCTCGGCTGCCTGTGGTTGGAGATGGCATCGCTCCCTGCAGTGCCCCATCCTGCTCTGAGCAGCCACAGGGAGCTGGGGGGGGCCTAAAGCAGCATGGTGAGGGTCTGGCGCAGCCAAGGCAGCTCCTTGTGGGGGTACAGCTGGCTCTGAGGGCTCCTGGCCATGGCCCTTCCCCATCCCCATCCCTTGTGCCTGTCCCCATCTCTGTCCCCACTGCAAAGGACACAACACCCATCCCTGCCTTCATCCCTATCCCTGTCCCTTGTCTCTATCCCTGTCCCCATCCTCATCCCTGTCCCCGTCCCTATCTTTATCCCTATCTTTATCCCTATCTTTATCCCCATCCCCATCCCCATCCCCATCCCTATCCCTATCCCTATCCCTATCCCTATCCCTATCCCTATCCCTATCCCTATCCCTATCCCTATCCCTATCCCTATCCCTATCCCTATCCTACCTACAGCCCTCTCCCCATCCCTATCCCTGTCCTCTGTCCCCATCCCTGTCCTTGTCCCTGTCTCTCCCCATCCCCATCCCCATCCCCACCCCCATCCCTGTCCCCATCATCGTGCTTATCCCCATCTCCATCCATGTCCCTATCTCCATCCCTCTCTCCATCCCAATCCCTATCCCCACGTCCCCATCCCCATCCCTGTCCATCTCCAGCCCTCTCCCCATCCCCATCCCCATCTCAGTCCCCCTCCCGCCGTTGCCATGGCAGCAGCATCGCTTCCTGCCCCCCGGGGCCGCAGCCGGATCCACCTGCTCCTCCCGACCCTCGCGGGGTCATCGTCAGGTCGCCAGAATAAATGAACGCGAGCACTAATGATGTGTTTGCTGGCTGTTTATGCTCTCTGTGTGTCAGGGGCACTCACATTTAGAGAGCTCATTATGGCTGCAATTAGACTGCACCACCGCTAGATATTTAACTCCTTTTTCTTTTAAATTAGCATTTTAATAACGTGCTTTGAGCAGGGGAAACAAAATGACCATTTTTCACGGACAAACTTCCCTAGCTGTAGGTGCAACTCTAATGGTGAAGTTGCACGGGAGGTACAACAGCGCCCGGATCGCTCCCATCCCCGGTGCTGAGCGGAGAGGGAGGGGGGGTTGGGGGTGGGCTGGAGGATGGAGCTCTTTTTATTTGCTTTATCGCACACTCCATTTCCTAAATTTGTTCTGCAGCCAATTATTTTCGCCTTTAAAGCCTGATGGAAGCGAGCAGCCGCCCGCGTTCGGCTCTGCCCGTGACCTGTGAAGAGGGCTGGTGGTAATTGTGCACATGTGTGCGCCCGCGTGCGAGGAGCCGAGCTGTGAGCAGAGGGATGGGAGCAGCAGGGGAGGGGGGGAATTCAACCACCCCCCCCCCCCGGGGTCACCGGGCACGGCGCAAATCCTCTCTTCCTCCCCATGTTGGGATTTGGGGTTTCTGCTCCTTGGATCCCATCCTTCGCCCATCATCCCAGGAGCCATCCTGGATGCAATGCAGCCGAAGGGGAAACCTCACTTGATGGGGGGAATGGGGATGGGGAGAGGAAGGCACAGAGCTGCCGGGTCTGGAGTGTGAGTGCTGTGCATCCACCCAGCTGTACCGCCTCATAAATACGGCACGGAGAGCTGTAATTTGGTGATAGCTACCCCAGGACATATCTAAGATCCACTTCTGTTATTTTAATTAAATACTGCATTATGGTTTGTGACAACTTCAGCGCTATCGCCTAAATGAATTTGGAATTAAAGTCTTACTTAGGCATTCCACTACACCCCCCCCCCCCTCCCCTCCACCCCTCGGTGGTGCAAAGCAAAGGGCCATAAAACTGAGATGTTTGTTTGTTTACAGATGGAGCAGCTCGGAGGAGGAAAGCAGGAGGAGAGGAGAGAGCTTTGGAAGGAGGGATTTTTGGTGCACGGCGCTTTGTTGGCTGTCAGTTGTCAGAATCTCTCATTTTTAACCACTGATTTGCTGCTTGTCCCATAGAAGAGCACTGGAAGGGTTGGGATGTTGGGGTTACACCTTTGGGAATGGCTCAGCGTTGGATTCCTGAAGGAGAATTATGGCAAAGGGAAACTTTTGGTGCCCAGGAGCGGGACGTTCGGTTCCATCCATCCACATAAACTCATCTCGAATGAAAGCAGTGCGTGACATTTGGCGATGGAACAGCTTTAAATGTTACAGCATCCATTGCTTTAAATGTTACCCGCGCCTCGTGAACCGGGAGACGGTTTTATTATTAGCTCCGTCTCTAACGAACAAAGCTCTCTGCTGTCTGCTGCTCATCCACGTTAGCAAAGGCAACAGGGGAGGAGGGGGTGGCAAGGATGGCCGTCCCCTTTTGGCAAAGCCGTGCCACCTATGGGCCTTATTCTGCCCACGTGCCGACACCTGGCCCTCACTTTCCCCCCATCACTCCCTCAATTGCTGCTCCATCCCAAATCGAAGCAACTCACACCCATCCGCCGCACAGAACAGCGCTACCCGTTGGGTACAGTGCAAAAAAAGCTGGGTTGGTTGGGGGTTTTTTTGGCCTCCTATTCCAAACGGGGCACTGTTATACACCCCCCCCACCCCCCTTCAACCCTCCATCACTAAATCTATTCCTGATAACAGCACGGCTGACTCCAAAGGAACCGCTGCCTACAATGGTGACTCTGGAAAATGGAAGCATTGTCACACTTAAAGACACAAATTTCCCCCGTAATATATTCGAATGGAAACCTCTGAATCCAATACTACATGGGCATATCTAATAAATTCACAATATTTCAGCCTCAACAGCCTTCAACGGTTAGTTTTAAAGATTTATGCGGTAAAAAATTACTCGGTGATGAATATAGTTTATTCTGTGCGGTATTGGAGGGTATAAGGAATTAAACTACTGTCTTTAACAGTGAATTTATTATTACCTCTGTCAAAGACGAAGTCTTTAACAGCGTTTATTATAAATTTCCAGGCACAATAAATGGTCAAAGTGTGCCTCAGAAGCCCCACGGGGGGACCAGGTGCTGGGAGGGGCTGTGATGCGGGCCCTGTGCTGGGCATGGTGGGGGGCTGGGGGCTTCTTGGTGAGCCCTGAGGGATGGGAACCTACTGCTGGTGTGGCCTCAGTGCCCAGTGGGTATCAACAGTGGTGGGTGGGTGACAAGAGTGGGGGATGGGTGACAGCAGCCACAGATGGGTGACAAAAGCCATTGGAGGATGATAACAGTATTGAGAGGGTGGCAGCCTTGGTTCGTGGGTGCCAGCAGCCACGGGGGGGTGACAGCAGCTATGGATGGGCAACAAAAGCCATTGGAGGATGATAACTGTGGGTCACAGCATTGACCAGTGGGTGCCAGCAGCCACAGGGGGGGTGACAAAAGCCACTGGAGGATGAAAACAGTGGTGGGAGGGTGGCAGCCTTGGCCCGTGGGTGACAGCGGCCATGAGTGGGGGGTGGGTGACAACAGTGGCGAGTGGGTGCCAGCAGCCACGGGTGGGTGACAAAAGCCATTGGAGGATGACAACAGTGGTACCGGGGGTGGCACCCCTGGTCAGTGGGTGCCAGCAGCCATGGATGGGTGCCATCACTGCGCTGGCGATGAAACCCGGACAGCATTGCTCTCCAGCAGCTCCACCACCCTTTGTCCTCACCCTCTCTGGGTGTCCCTCATTTATACAAATTACCTGGGAGGAATGAAGCTGCCAGGGGCTCGTTCTGGACGATTGGTTCCCGCCGGGGGCTCGGGGCCGGCGGGGAAGGGGCGGAGGTGGGGGGGAGGAGAGACAGGGGGGGCAGCCCTCGCTTGGATGTGACCGACGTGTGACCGTTGCCTCCCGGCTGACCCCGGCCCGGCGCCCGCCGCCCCCGTGCGGTGTCCCGGTCGCCCCCGCTAGGTGTCACCGCCAGCCTTCGCTCGGAGCCCCGATACCCCCCCCCACCCCCCCTCCGCCTTCAGTGAAAGCAATTGAGAGAATTAACTTATCCGCTTTTATGGCCTGCTTGTCACATCCAACTAAGCCCACTTAAAATAGGAAGTCTCGCTGCATTCGGATAATTATCATAACGTACAAATCACTCAGCCGAGGGACCAGGGATTGGGGCTGTGGGAAAGGACACGGCGTTCTGCTGGGATGATGGCTTCCCCCTCCCCGTGGCTGTCAGCCCCCCCTCCCCCCCATCCCCACACACACACACCGGGTGGGCGGCAGCATTTTGGGGTCTCTATGCGATGGGGTGACGGGCTCTGCATCCATCCCCAATGCTTTAACAAACCTGGTGGCACCAGGGGGGTGAATAGAGAGGGGACCCGCATCCCTCGGGTGCCAGCTGTAGTGAGGGAGCCAGCACCTGAGGGATGCTCCTGTGTCCATAGCACCCAACAGCCCGGTGTCCTGCACCCATGGGACCGTGCTGTCTGCATTGCATGGCTCTGCACAGGGACCTGGGACACACGGCAAGGAGAGACCCTGCAGCCATAAGCCCTGCACACCCTGAACCACGCGCTCACCCAGGTGCCCAGGTGAGGGATGGCTCCAAGCAATTGTCCTGGGGACAAACCCATCCCTGCCCAGCATGCTGCAGCCCCCCCTGCCCACCCCACGCCCTGCTGCTGAATCCCTGCCAGCTACTGATGTCCACTAACCCCCAAATCACTTTTCCCCGCTGTTGCTGCTGGAAATGTCAGACAGGACCCGAGCAGCAGCCGGCATGTGTTTCAAACACACCAGATGGATTTTTATATTAGCTACTATTTCATGTTCAGACAGAGCGACCGCACCGCTCAAAACTGCAGCCTCGACGCTGCCGAGTTTGCTTCTGTGAGATTAATTCTGCGAAATTAATTGGGACAAGATTGAAAAGGAAATTAAAATGCAGCTGAGTGAACAGGCTTTTCAAACACCTTTCCCCCCCGCTCGCCTCTCCCTGCATTTCCCCCCCCCCCCCCCCCATCACTTCGGTTCTGCCACGGCCGCGAGCATCCGTCGCACAAAGTAATTTACGGGGGGAAAGCTCTCAGGACCCATCGGTTACGTGTGAGGAAGCCAGCACAAGAGTCGCAATCTGGAGGCACTGAAGAGAGAGAGAACCCCGCTGAGCCTCCAAGCTGTGTCCCTGCGCTGGCAGGGCAGCACTGTGCCCCAATCCGGGCACTGCGTGGGGATGTGGGACGTCGGCCAGCTGCTGCTGCTGCTGTAAGCCCAGAGATGGAGGGATGAGCCCGGGCTGTGGGTTCAGGCCTGGAGCATGGCAGGCTCATCTTGCTGCTGTAAAGCAGCAGGGGGGGCAGAGGCAGTAAATGCAGCCGTAAAAAGCGCTTTGAGATCCACAGATGGGAAATTCTCAGCCTTCCAGAAAAAGGCAAGAATAAAAGCCGTGCTCTGCCGCTGCCAAAGATGCAGCTGCTTTTGTGGGGCTGAGCAGGGCTTCAGAACCACGGGTCCAACATCAACCATGTGGGTGCATGGGGGTGGGTGAGTGAACCCCCCCTCTCCCCCCCCTCCGGTTCAGTGCCACTCACACAATGCAGCCATCCCAGCCAGGGCCACTGCAGTCCGGTTGGGAGCAGCTGGGAGCCCTGCAGGGATACACGGGGCTGGAAGGGTCACAGCACAGCACAGCTCCCTGCCCTGCTCTTGCAACCACTTGATGTATTCACCTGCGCGTGTCTGCTGGAGAGAGCTGTGCTCACACCCGGCTGAGCAACTCAATTACCCCTGTAATACCCGAGCAACAGCACGCACAGGCTCCATTACCGTGAAGAAAATCTTGCTTTGGGGCATTTCTGATGCCACACGTAAACATAGGAGGCGGTGAGGGCCGCAGGCAAGAAGGGGTGACGGCGGGGACACGAATTGGCTGCGGGGAGGGGGGAACTCACAGGGTTGGGGACACACTGCTATGTGCATATGGGAGCTAGACCCCAAAATTCCACTGCCTGCTCTGTTAATTAGGACGTATCCCCGTGCTTTGATTTTCTCTGCCCCCCCCCCCCAGCTCCCCACCAGCTCTGTTGGGCTGCAGGGCCCTACCTTGCTCAGGATGTAGATGAGGTCCCCGCGGTGGAAGGAGAGCTCGTTGGGGTGCTCACCGCTGCAGTCCCACACGCCCTGGTAGTAATTGGCAAAATCCCTTCCTGCAGAGCAAAGGAAAGGTCAGGGGGATGGGGGGTAACTGGGGAAATACTGGGGTCAGGGTGTGGGGGTCTGAGGGTAGGAGCTGCAATCAGTCGGTATGTGGGGGGAAGACAAGGAGGTGTTGGTGCCATTTTGCACAGTGGCCTCAGTCTTTTCCATCGGCTGTGGACCGCAGGCTGGAAGGGACATTATGAACCAGCAAAGTCTTGTTTTCTCCTTTCTAGAGGGAGGCAAAATGATTTCTGTGCTGGGAGTCATGGGTTTGTGTTGGTGAAACTGTCAGCAAACTGCATGCCAAGGCTGGGGACTGCCCTTGGATAAATGTCCGTGTGGGTCGGATGGAAAATGGAGCAGCAGCATTTCCAGAAGGAAACATTTCCATCTTTGCCATTTCAGAATGGCATTTCCCATCCAATGCAGGCCCAGAGACCACAGCCAATGTGAAAAGTGGGTCCCTGGAAAGGGGCAGAGAGCATCTCACTGTGCAATGGGACCAGACCAGCCAACACCACGCACCTGGAGATGCTGCCCTACTTTGCAGGCTGGGGAAGGGATTCATCCCAACACATCCAACAGATCCACGGCAGCGTCATAAACACACCCTAAAATCACATTCCTGGTTTCCAAGCACACAAAATGACCATTCAGACATGCAGGACATGTCCTGGTGGTGCAGCACCGATGTGGGGGTGGAGGGGGGGGGGGGGGAAATCCAGATGTCACAACACGGGCACCTCCGTGATGAGGCCCCTGTGAATAATTAAACCCAATAAAACCACACTGTGCAGGAGGGGGATTTGAGCACCGGCGTTGCACCGATGCACTGTGCTGCTCTGCCTGAACCGAGCCCAGAAAGCATAAATAGAAAATATCGAGCACATGTTGGAGGAAATGTTTCTAATATGGTATAAGGGACCGAGTGATAAGGGTGCATCTGGAGTGCTGTGCCCGGATTTGATCACCTAAATATGAAAAAGGACATTACAGAGATGGATAATGGTGCAGCAGGGAGCGACTGGAATGACTCAGGGACTTGGGGAACTTAAATAGAAAGGCTGGGAAAAAAAAAAAAACAAAAAGAAGGAAAAAAAAAAAAGTAGGTCTGCATCCTTTGGAAAGTATTAAAGGGGGAGCACACAGCGGTGAGGAAAAGATTGTGAAGGGAATAGAAGGAGAAGGAGCTACTGAGTTATTTAAGCTTGTGCAAAGTGCAGGAAGCAGAGGTTATGAACTGGAGGCAGAGGAAGTCCTGGGGCACTGAGCAGGACGAAGCAGGCAGCAGCTCTGCAGCAGGCAGAAAATGGTGTAAGTGCCACCAAAGGTCACTGCAGCACCGTGATGCAGAGAACATCATGCAGGCTGGTGCTGCTGTGAGCGGCCCTGTGCTCCCCGTGTGAAGCAGGACTGCTTATTAACTCCAGTGATGTCCACTGGTCCAGGAAAAGGTCTCAGCCTTCGCTCCAGCACCTCCTTCCAAAGGTCAGCATTAATTGCATTGCATGGAAATGCCTGGTGATGAGAGCGTAGCGCGGCTCTGCGTTGAGCCACAGTTTCAAAAGCGAGATGTTTGTGCAAGCTGTTGAGAATATCGTGTTCAAATTAAGGTGGTGTGCAGTGAGGGGGGTCCCGATCCCTGTCAGCACTCGGACATAAGGCCAGGAAAGGGAAGATGTCACTCTGCGGTGTCCCAATGGGACAGCAGCTCTCCCAGGTGCCCTGCCTGCAGATCTGAACCTGCGTTCAGGGCAGAGACACGACGTGAGTGTGACTGATTTACACTGATGTAAGTGGGGCGAGTGCCTCCTCCCACGTTTATGGGCCTCGGGGTCACGAAGGAAATCAGCCAAATGTGACAACTGCGTCACTGCCTTCCGCAGCCCGAGGAGCCCCAAGCAGGGCTGGGGGAGAAGCTCCTGCCCCAACCTCTCTGCTTTGGGCTCGTGGCTTTGGCAGCCTGTTGATGCTGAAGCCTGATGACAACTGTCTGCAGCTCGGTGGCTTTCTCTGCTAGGTGAAACCTCCTGCCATGCTCATTGCAGGAGACAAGCTTCGGGGCTCTTCTGTTTTTCTGAGGATAGGAGTTCTGCTCTCTGTATTTGATGGGTCAGGCTGTGTGGCAGCAGCAGCTCGTCAGGCATAGAAGGCAGGAAGGGACCGAGCAGCATGAGCTGTGCAAACAGGCATCTTGGCTGGAGCAACCCGCAGCTCCTGGTTGGATTTGCTGGGCTGGTTTGGTTTTGTGGCATCTTTGCTGTTCTTAGAAATGAGAAACAATAGTTTTCCATTCTCCAAATGCTCACTGGGCACTTTGGCTTTATGCTGCCAACCCAGTTCTGTGCTCAAGGGATGCTGTCATCCCCTCACCCTTCGTCCAGTTGGATCACAGCACAAACATCCCAGGCTGAAGGCACAGGGGCTGGGACTCCTGGAGCTGTGAGAACTTTTTGCTCTTGAAATGGAGCCCAGCATTTGAGAGGCAGGAGCCTCACGTGTTATTTAGCATAGAAACAGACACAGGACCCAAAGCAATCATGACCACACTAATAATGAAACCGGCCATGATGCTTAACAAAAATCACAGATGTCAGGAGGATGCTAACGAATACAAGCAGGGCATTAAAAAGTGTGCAGAGCTGGGATAGGTGGAGCCAGCACCATCAGGGTGCCCTTGGGTCACCCCCAGCCCTCCAGCACTCTGCTCCTGCAAGGGAACCAAGGCAGCTCCTCTCTGAGATGCTGGGAGTGCTGTGGAAGGTGAAGACAAATGCGTGCTTGCAGTGCATGTCCCAGCTCCTTCTGCTTTCCTCAGCCCGTGCCCAGGAGTCCCCAGGGATGCAGGTGTGACGATGGTGGTGCAGTTTATAAAGATGAGGAGGTCGTTTTTCCAAGCTCTGGGCACTGCTGTCACGGCCACATGCTCCAGTGGCTGAATAAGTCATCGTGCTGGGGGTGGGGGTAGGTGGGAAACAAGCAGTGTGAGGGCACAGGGCTCGCAGGTTTGCTTCGTTGTCTGCAGACAGCAAGGACTCAACCCTGCATTGAGATGGGAACACTGGGAAGCTGGGCAAGGGGCTGCAGGACAGCTGAGAGCCCCTCTGGGGGAGTAACCCAGCAGTGCTCGGGGTGTCTGCACCCCCATGTGTGTGCTTCCAAGAATGCCCCACCACGTGTGAAGCCAACCCAGGCACCTGCTGTCTGATGAGCCCCTCTGCTCCCTGCCACCCAACGGCTCCATGCTCTGAGTGCCAGCAGATTTGCCACCCCCTGGCTGAGCATCTCCAGGCTATGCGTGTCCCCTCGGGGCCCCCCCCGGGCTGGGCCAGCAGTATGCAAGGCAGGAAGGTCCCAGCCCAACCCACAAGCACTGCTTTCCTGTGCCAGGATGGAAGCGGTGATGGAAAGTGAAGCAGGTGGGACCGGGGAGGAAACAGACCTTCCGCTCCCATCCCATGGTGCAGATCCCTAAGGAAAAAGCAGGGGGGTGGAACCTGTGAAGCTCTGAGAGGCTCTTGGGGCTGCCTGCTCTGGGCGGTGTTGGTTCCGGCAGCGGTGCTGAGCGTCCAGCCGGCTTCCCGTGCCCACAGCCGGCTTCCTCTGAGCCCTGACTCACGTCCTTCCTCATCTCCTGTCATGTCTGCCCCACCTCCTCTCGATGTGTGCTCCTCCACCAGCACCCGCACCTCCACATCCCCTGGTTGCCTCCATTGGGACATCCATAGAGCTGGCCAACGTGGGCTGGGCTCTTACCGCGGTGCTGCCCGCTGCCGTCGTCCTCGCTGTCCTCAGGAACATTGGGGTCCTTCTCTGGAAGGGGAAAACAGAGCAGAGAAGCCACAGGGAGAGCTGTGAGTGCAGCAGAACAGTGCCAGGCCATTGCTAGCACTGCACCAAACCCGCAGGCTTGGGCTGTGGAGAGCATCCGACTGTCAGAATAATAAATTCCTGGCTTAATTGTGGAGAGTGGGAGGGAGGAAGTCGCGGATAATATTTTAAAACGTGTTGCATCCAAATATGAATTGTTGTTAACACTGGTAAAAACAAATCACTTATTATAGCCTCATAAATTTAAGCAGCACTTTGCCAAGTGCCCGATAGGAAGAGACGCTTTCCTGTTCAGCGCTTGCAGCCTGGGGAAAACGAGACAGAGAGGAGAAATGCCAGGGCAGAAACACATGGGAGGATGGTGAACAGAAGCAGAAATCAGAGAGGAGAAAAAGGAACCCAGGCAGCCACCGGCACAGCTGTGCAGGATGGGGAAAGGGGGGCAGAAAATAAAGAGTAACGAGAAGTGATACTGCTGGAAAGGTTAAGTGTGAGCTGGGGGGCTGTGGGGATGCTCTGGGGAATGGCGACTGTCAGAAACACGGGTCCATGTGCAAATAGGTTTAAATAAGACATAAGCGAGCCAGCACTGGGCACTCTGCTGATCCCACGTGGCTCAGAAGCAGCCCATCCCTGTGGCACCTGGTTGGGGATGTGGCCCCTCTGTCTCCCCCCACGCAGCTCTGATCAATGCAAACCGGGTCAGAGCTCCGCTGTGAGTCACAAATTGGATCCCATGTTGGAGGGTCACCGCCGCTGCTCCCCCATTAGATGGGAAGCGGCACCGAAGATCTTTTCTAAATAAATCAGACTTTATTGTAAAACTCGGCCACTGACGAGACAGAACCTCGTTAGCATTGATTTTTAAATAAATTATTGAAAGTGGCTTTGGCCTGCTCTTTGCATTTGTAAAGGAGGATGTAAATGCATCCGCACCGCCGCTCTGCCTCCACCTTTCCCATGCACGCTCCCCAACCCTCACATCTGGATTCCTTTAGGCTTTAACCAACAGCCCCCTGATCCACTCCTGGCATGGAGTCAGCCCCACTGAGCCCTGTGCCATGAAAGCCCCAAATCGTGCCCCCAGCGTGGGTGCTGCTGCTGCACCCCCATGGGATGGGACCATGTTTTGGGGAGCTGACATTGCAGCTCTGCTGGGTGTCCCCCACCTTCCATCTCTGCACACGCTTCCTGCAGGCGGTGCTTCCAGCCCCGGAGCTGAGCTGTCCTCAGGAAACCCAGAGCCCTCTGTGAATCCACCCCACACATACACACAACTCTCCTTGGGAAGCTGGCAGCAGGAAAAGGCAAAGCGTGGTGGAAATACCTCTGCATTTCCATGAGCAACACCATACAAAGTCTGCCAACACTGCGGCGGTGGCACCGTGTCCTGCACAGGTTTTTTTTTCCCCATATTTGATGGGATGGGACAAGTCTCAAGCAGAAATGAAGCCACACAGCCCTCGCTGCTTGCATCACCCTCCTGGCGGCTGAGAGCTCTGCAGCTCAGAGGAGTCGGTGATGCATTCAGACCTCTGTGCCTCAGTTTCCCCTTCTTTCCACCTTGCCACGGTGATTACTGCTCTGTGCCATCTGCAAAAGGTGCTCAGAGGAAGCCCCCAGGTTATGCTCAGCCCCACAGCTGCTGCCCTGCGCTGGTGGGCTGCAAGGCAGTGATGGATGGAGGCTTGGAGGGGGGAAGGAAGGAGATTTGCCTGGGATGTCTCAGCAAAACATGGTGAGGATGGATGGCCCTGGTGAAGGCATAGAGCCTGGCATGCTGCTGAGCTGCATCTGCACAGATCTGTGTCTGTGCTCCAGCCACCATCCGTGCAGATTTTGCTCTGTGCATGCAGCGAAGGCGGCTGTGGGGATGCAACAAGTTCCCCTGCATGTGGCAGCCCTTCAGCCTCGTGCAACCAGGTGCTCGTCTGAATCACATCTGCAAAAGGTAAAACTGCTTCCTTTTCAGAACCTGGATGTTTGATTTTGGTCAATATCTCGATTTTACCACGGCAAATCAGAGGGAAATGCTGAAAAATGCATCTCCTGGGGTCTGCATCGCTTCTCACTATCCCACCTCCTTGTGCAGAGCACCACAGCCTCAGCCACAGCATCCCTGGGGAATGCATTTACCAGGGCAGCCCATCCCTATGGGGCAGCCACCCTGGGGTCTGGGACCCCCCCCCAGCAGACCCCATCCCATCCCTGTGCGTGGCCATTGCACCGTGTGCCCCACTGCTGTGCCGGAGCAGCCTGGGCGTTGGGCACATTCTCAGAGGAGCTGTGTTTTAATGTAGCAATTTGATTCAATTTTCCACTCTATAAAATTACCCATCACTGCTCGTTGCTTCCTAACAGACACCTTCACTCTTAATTTAACAATCCTATCGAATTCTGCCAGGGAAATTGGAAAAATTTATCACCTGTGAAATTTTATTTTTCCTTGGTTGTATCTGTTTTTGTAAAACTTCATTAACGACGATGACTTGCTGAGGAAATTATCTCTTCATTTCCCCCCTTTCCTTTTTTTCCCTCTCTCTCTATCTCTCTATTGCACTCAGGACATGAGGGAGGGGGTCGGGCCCAGAGGAGCCCCCAGCTTGGATAGGGACCCTCTCCCACATTTCTGGGGGGTGAGAGGTGCAATGGGGATGTACCTGGGGGGAGCAGATTGCTCCGACCCACTGTTTGCATTCTATGCCTGGTTCCTCACTGCCACATTCCTGCTCCTGCTCATCATCTCTGTGCTTTCACCCTCAAGGGGCTGAGCACTGGGAATTGGGGCAGAAATCCCCCTGCATTCCCCATGCCTTAGGCCAAGCAGAAGGGAGCCCAGGAAGGCTGCAGGAGGGTTGGGAAATGGCCATGGGATGTGGGCACCTTTCAAGGATCTTCTGCCCCTTGTCCCAAAAGCTGGAGTCTCCAAAGCCCTGCAATACAGGCGGGCATTTGAGAGCATTTAAAGGGCACAAATAACACCCATGGCAAATTTGCAGCCCTTGATGCACTCTGCACCTCAGAGCAGGGGCAACAGAAGGATCCGTACCCAGGTCAGCACAATGCAGGCTCATGCCAGGATCACCATCAGCCCCATTTGGAACAAATCTCACATCTGATATCTGCTCTGTAGCTGCTGCTGGCAGCCGTAGGGCAGAGAGGAGCTGGATGCAGCTGCCACAGCAGCAAGGGATGCTGAACCCCTTCGTGTTTCACATGCACCTGGAACTGCAGAGCAGAGGCTCCTGCTGAGTGCAGGAATCACTGCAGGTGAGGAAGAGAGAACTGCAGCCCAAAGAGCTGATGATGTAAGCGGAGAAGGAAAAGGTTGGGAAGGAAAGATGAAGGTAGACAGGAGCTGAGGCTGCCTGGGGTTGTGCTGGCAGCCCAGGAGCCCCTGCTCTGCTCCCTGCAGCTGCCTGGATGCCACTTGCCAAGCAGAGATTTCCTCCTTGTGCACCAGCATACTTCCTGGTACATTTATTTTTTTTTTTTTAATCACTACAAATACAAAGCCCTGAAAGAAAACAAGAAGAAATAAGAATAAATAACCCATTTTGCACCTCTAAATGCAGACAGAGAGCAACCTTACCTGAGAGGGATGGGGGTACAGTGCTGGGCAGCGCCAACCTCGGCACAGAGGCTGAACAGCGTGTGTTTGAATCAGGCTCAGGTGACCCCCTGACCAAGCCCTAGGGCATGTTGCACTGTGATTTCTGCTGCACCAGTGAGAAATGTTGCAGATCATGTCACCCCTCTCCGGCCGTTTCTGTGCCAAGGAGATTGCTCCTGGCTTCTCTCACAGCAGCCACAGCCCTGCTGCCTCCAGGCCTCCTGCGCTGCTAGCGAGCAAGCGCTGGTCTTTAATGCAGTTATTTTATCATCTCTTGGAAGCCTAGTAATCATGTTACAGCCATGACTGCATGCCCAGAAGGGAGCATTTTCATCATCTAACTCTGATTCTCCAGGTAACACAGCCCAGTAGGAGCTGCCTCACTTGAATTTACAAAATCCCCATCTCGCCAGAGCAGAAGGGGTTTGCTCTTGTAGTCCATCAGCCAGCCTGAACAAAGAAACCGAGCTGCTCCTTTGAGTTATAGGCCTATTAAACTCAGCAGAGCCTGAGATGTTCATTCCCATCATGACGTGTTTGTTGGCCAAGGTCTCCTGCCATGTTTGCAGGGTTAAAGTTAGGGCACGGCTTGGGTTTTAACATCATCATTTTGTTGTTTACCTGGGAAAACCTCGTAGATGTCATCTTCTTCCATCCCGTCATCTTGATTCAGGGTAGTGTTGTGAGATGCTGTGGTCACGGAGTCAGAGCTCCCCACGTCATTGTAGAGCTCTTCCTCCTCCTCATCGTATGGGATAGTGAGGGAGCTCAGATCTGCTGGGAGAGAGCAAAGATGGTGGAGAAGAGCAGACTTTGCCAAGCTGCACGCTGGAATTTGCAGTGAGCTGAAATCAAGCAAGAAAGATTGTGCAGCTGTACTTGGTGCTCACCGTGCACCTTGCAGAGAGGGCTCTGTCCCCTCGCTGACTGCACAGCTTAGCAGCAGAGGTGGAGAAAGGAGGGCTCCTGATCCTCCTCTGAGCTCTGCTGTGACCCCAGCAGGGCCTTGGCTTAACACAAACCCGCAGGATCCTGCAGGGACTTGGCTAGAAAGGGCTGCAGGGATTTGCCCCAATGATTGGGGTTGGCTTGGGCCAAGCTACCAGACTCACCCTTCAGGAGGAACTGGATCTGATCCACCCAATCTTCAGCCTCTGCTGGACTTGGGGCTGTGAACTGGAGAGAGGTTCACCTGTTACCGTGCTGTTTCTTGGATGCACGAAGAGGAGGAAGATTTGGAACTAAAATAAGGGATTGAGTGCTTGCATCTGCCATTGTCTGTCCTGGGGGCTGTGGGGAAGCCATTTCACTTCTTTATCTCCTTATTCCAAACAGGGAAGCAGAAGCAGAGCAAAGCTAGACTATCCCAAAGGAAGGCTGTCAAGCCTAATTCATTAAAAGAATTCAGATGGAAACCACAATCCCTATTGAATATACAACACTGACTGTGAACCGAGGCTCTAGATTACAAAGTCTCCCTGACTCTCTGGGAGGAGCTGTGCATTGGACCACGTTTTTCATTGCACCAGGCTCAACAGATGGGAAGTTTAAATTCAGCAAGGCTCTGAAGTGCTTATTTAAAAACGGGCTTTTCCAAACCCAGTGTCCTCATTGAACCCTTCTGCCCTTCGAGCACAAAGGGAGCCCAGGGTCACCTGCAGGTCCATGCGGAGGTGACTGGATGAGATGGAGAAGCACCAGCACCTTCTGCAGAGCTTATTATTATTGTTATCATGGTCCTTTTCAACCCAGGCCATCCTATGATTCTTGTTTTGTTGAACTGGAGACTGACGTTTGCGGGTTCACAGCCTCCCCAACCCTGCAGGTCCACCCAGTGCCTTGGGTCTGGCACCATGAGCTCCCAAGCTGTGATCAAACAACACCAAGGCTCCTCTTCTTCCCCCAGCTCCTACCTCATAGGTGCGTTTCCCAGGGCAGACTAATTCAAAACAGCATCTTCTGCGTGAGTCTTTGCGGAGATGGAAAGCCAGCCGGGCGCTATAATGCTCAATGGAGAAGGTGCCTTTAGGTTGCTTGCCTGGGAGAAGAGAAATTAAGAATTCTGGAGTTTATATCTTTTATCAAACCCTCGTGAGTGGGGCAGATGTTTGTTGCCTACGTTGGGAAACTGAGCTCTATCACGTATCACTGGGAGCAAATCTAAGCATCCTTCCCCCCCCCGGAAATCTAAAGAGAACATTATAAAATCTTCATAAAGACACAGCAAAGAGGACGCAATTTTAAGCCTCCAGAGACTGTGAGCTGCCACTGAAAGGTTGCCAGGGTCACGGGGTTGTATGAGATGAGCTGCTTGTAATGAAGCAGAGACCACTGTGTACTTGGGGAAATATGATAGCAACGGCTCTTGTGCTGGTAAGGAATTAGTGGGTCGGTGTGCAGGAAGAAATGCTTAGTGGGGCCTGGGAGGATTGGCCTATGGATGCTGTAGATGCACACACACGGCCCCAGCAGCCAGGCTGGAGAGAGAGAACATCACTGCCATCGTTTGAGGCACGTTTATTTACCCCAGCTGGATAGCCAGCTCATTATTTCCTTATGAATCTTCTTGAGTAAGTGTGGGAGTGTGATTCGGGCAGCTGCTCTTAACTTTTTTATTTGGATGAAGCCCAGCCCTGTGAAAAACATTCAGTCCATCAGGAAGAGGTTTGCTTTACTCTGTTGCCTTCTGGAGACCGTTTGGGAGCTGACAGCTGTCCATCTCCCACCAGAACAATGCTGTGTCAGCTCTTGCATTCGAGCTCATCTGCAACCCTTTGCATCCTCAAAGGAGGTGGAAAAAGGCAGAGAAGATTCAGCTCCATCCCCATAAGCTGCTGGAGTTTGATGCAGAGTGGCCATTGCAAACCAAGGATGTATGTGTGTATTTTGTGAGCAGTTAACAGGCCACGATGCTGGATGGGTGGAACAGAGGAAGGCAGGCCATATATCTCATTGTGCTGGAGATATTAGCTGTCTGTTTGTATGTACCTGATGGAGCACGACTGCAAAATATTTATACACACTGACGTGTGGGTTATATACAGCCACTTAGGGGGCTGAAGCCCAGCTGATGGCTAATGGAAAGCTTGGTGTGTCATTTTATTTACATGCAGCTCTGTCCCTGTCTTTCTCTTGTCTTCCTCCCTTCCTACAAAGACGTTGGGGGACTGGAAATAAAAAAGCCAGCTGAGATACACTTTTCTACAAGAGCCTGTATGTTTTTTCTTGATAGGGACTTACAGCCATCCTCTTCTTTGTCTTATGCATAAGAAAAGAAAGTGGGGGTTCAGCAGGAGGAAGCTGAGATGACATCCAGGTCCCTTCAGTGCTTTTGGAAACTGCAGCCCACATCTCGGTTTTATCAGAGATGAACACTGAGGGCACGTTTGCTCCTTTTTACACTAATTGCCTCATTTGCCTTTGGGATCGAGTGCCCCGGGGGGCTCCTGGGGACCACATGCCCTCAAAGCCACCCTTTCCCAAAGGAGGACATTTCCAGGCACTGCTGTGCTCTGAATGAATGTCTGAATCCAGGTTTCTTCATCCAAATCAATTCCTGAAACTCCATCAGCTGCAGGGAAGGCAATGGACCACAGCCTGTGCTCTTTTCTTGCCAGGTATTGGCCTGCCCTGTGGTCGAAGCTCTCATATCCCCTTTGCCAGCCTTATCCACACCTTCAGCCACTGCCCACAGTTTGGGGCAGTGCCTCGCCACTTACTTTTCTCATTGGCATAGTAGTAAAAGGTCTTTCTGTGGAGGACACACCACCTCTTCTGCCACTCCGACCCGAAAAAGCTGTGGTCTAGAAGGGAAAAACACAACACAGGAATAAACACATTCATTCCTGTTCTTCTGCTGAACAAGGATCTCACACAAATGGAGAGGAAAAAGATTTTTTTTTTCCCAACAAAATCCTGCTTGTTTCTGGGATAAAATTCAGGCAAGCGAGTTTAGGTGCAAAACCTCAACTAAAGCAAGGAGAGCAAGGCAGTCTTAGCAGGAAAGAACACAGCTTTAGGTGAAACATTCCTAATTGAGCTTCAGGGTCTTTTTCTCTGTAATTGGAGCAAGCTACTGCATGCACAGGACCAGTGACACAGCTCAACTTATGAGCACAAGGAAGAAAGGGGTTGTTCTCACCCCATCCCACCTGTCATGCAGCAAACAGATCAAGCCGAAATCTGGGGAAATAATTTGTGTCTTTCACAAGAGTCATTAAAATCAAGATAAACCTTAGGCTGCCTCACTTCTCTCAGCTCGTTAACGTGTGTGATGCTACGAACCAGCTTCTTTTCAGCAGGGCTTTATCCTCATGAGGTATGGCTGGTTAGGATGGCACGTTTTGCCTCAGAGGACGAAGCCTCTGCTTAATTCAGATTCTGGGTTTTAATCTTTGTGCAGTTTGAGGATCTACGGAGGAGAATAAAGAAGGGCTGTGCTCTCCCTTTGCATCTGGTACATTAAGAAAGGTCTGAATGTCTGCTTGTGGCTCCTGAAGCTGCTGCAAATAAAGAGATATTTTCCTGCTTGTTCTTCATCTGACATTTTTTGCATTCTTGGTGATGACCTGAGTGTGCTGAGCTCTTCAGGATGGCTGTGAACCACAGCAGCTCATCCACCTGAAGCCCTCCCCCACCATCTCACTCACCACCTTCCTTCACCTCATCAGACAGAACCAAAGCCAGCCCAAATGGAGCCCCCCCAGCCTTGATGCACTCCTCTGGCCTCACCTCTGGACCTCTTCTCCAGATATCCTTGCTTCAGAATGTTTCCTGTGTCTTCAACAGGCCTCGTTGTGATTTCCTCCATTCCTGCAAGCATCAAAGCAAAGTCTGGTCATTTCCAGTCCACGCCATGCAACTCATGTGCACACAGAGAGGAACAGATCCCTCCAAGACCTTCCAACTGTGCACACCCTTAGTAGATAGCACACTGCCCATAGGGGTCCTCCAAAGAGGCAGCTTGCCCACCTCAGTGCTCCCTGCAAGCTCCATCCCTCCTCTCTCCAAGGGACTCACATTGATGGCACACATTACAAGTGGGTCTGGGGCTCAGCCCTCTGCCCAGACACAGGTGGACAGGGAGCTGAGAGCAGGAGGGAAATCCAGACCTTCATACAAATACTCTTATGTTTCTTACAGGGAAAACAAACGCGGGTGTCGAAAAGGACCTAAATTCTCTCTCAGGGCTGCATTAAGAACCAGGAGGTTGTTCCTAAGGTGGCAGTGCAGAATAACAGCACTTGCCACGTCCCCAAATTCTGCGTTGGACCTCGGTGACCAACCCCAAAGGGCCCCACAGAGGTGCCAGCAGGGCCTGACATCACCTGCCGTGTCCCCAGGTGCTGGGCTGGCATCCCTCCACCAAGGTGGGGAAAAGCAGCCATGCAGGGAGCAAACCTTCCCAGCCTTTTCCATACAGCAGCACGACGCTCCCGACCGGCAGAAAAAGCACATTTCCTTCTCCAACCCGAGCCTCGACCCCTTCAGCTAATGCAAATCTGAATGTCATTTTATGGGACATTTATAATTATGAAAATGGGACGGTGCTGCCGGGTGCACAGGGAGACCCTGCGAGTATGAATATTACATTAATGTGCCCAACGCCAGCTCGCCGATCCCGCTGGCAGGAGCATAAAAAATGCTTGAGTGAAACTTTTATTTAGACGTTAAGACTCCAGGCCCCAGCGGGGTGACAGAGGCAGCCCTGGCGAGATCCCATCAGCGCGAGAGCTCGAATTGAATTACCCAGGGGGGGAAAGCAGGAGCTGCCAGTGCTGCTTCGCTTGTTTAATTTCATTTACTTTCAGTACATTATCAGCATGCGGCTTCCCTCTGCCCCCGCTCCCCAAGACTGAAAGAAATCGCCGGCTGCTCGTCGTGCTGCAGCCCCACAGCCCTGCCCTGCTTTGAGCTCGGATTTTGCTGGTGGGCAGATCCCAAGTATTGGTGCCCCAGGTTTGGGAGCTGGCGGCCCTCTAAATGCAGCTTGGCTTTGCTCAGCATCTCAGCAGCATCGTCCCAAAACTCTGCCAGGATCCAGCAAAAGACACGGCGCTGCTGCTTCCCAATAGGAGAATCAGAGCAAACGGAGGCCCTCTCCTTCTTAAATACTCAGTGGCTGCTCAGACAAGCAAATACAATTAGGGAGGGCTTGTGAGGGCTGATTAGATTGCACGAGGCTCTGGCAATGTGAAGTTGTACAGAACATGACACGAACAGCACAGCCTCTCTGATGCAGCCCTGGCCGTGCAGAGCCAGGAGGATTAAATCTAGGGGAGGTGGGAGCCATGGGGGTGTCCCTGTCCCTCCCTGCACCCCCAGCTGCCCCATAATAGCAATCCAGATGGCTTCTGCTAGCAACAAATGGCTGAATTAACCTGCAAAGACCATCCCTGGGGTTTTATGTCTTTAAACTGTCCTAATGGACACCTGGAAAACCAGGGGGGGGCCAGGTGGGACCGCAGCCCTCTCAGGCAGAGGGTCCATTTGCTTGGGTGGCCTCGTTAGATCCTCCACCTCAGGGCACACAGCTCACAGGTAAACCCGAGCTCACTGCCCCATCTCTTCCAACCACAAACAGCCACCCACCATTTATCAAGACAGAGAGAAAAGAAAAAGCCTGAAATCCATCGCAGAGAACCAGCTGTGCCCTCCCTGACACACGGCCCCTCTTGGCAGCTCCTGCATTTCCGTGGGCACGAAGGTCCCTTCCATCTCTATTCCTTCCCCAGCCCACCCAGCCCAGCAGAAGGAGCAGAGGAACACTGGGATGCCCGCTGAGCATCGTGACCGTTCCAGCCCGTCCTCACCATGTCCTCAAAGCCCTCTGTGTTCCAGCACTCAGCCCTCTGCTCTCTGAGTCATGCACACCAGCTGCACCAAATGTCACAGCAGCTGCAGCCAAACCAGCCTGGGGGCTGCGCTCGTGCCCACACTGTCACATTAACTGAGCGTTCAAAGGGATGGAGCACGGAGGCTTGCAGCTAATTCCCAACCCTCTGGCTTATTCACCAAGCTCAGACGTGCCAAGAGCAGATTCTCCTCCAGGGGACTTCAATGGGAACACCCAAATACATTGCAAACCCAGAGCACAATCGGCTGTGATTTCCCAAAGCTCCCAGTGGTGGCTGCAGTCTTTTTTTTTCCATTGGAGCTAATGAGGATAAAAAGAATCAGAAACAGACAAACAACCCCTCCTGTCGCCTTCAAAGAGAGCTGAAGGGTTTTGCAAGTCCCACCGGCGACTGAAGCAATGGCCAATGGGCCCATGATGGCCAGGGCTGAGTGGTGGTGTGCAGGGGTTTGGTCCAGTGGGAATTTCAACCCTACAGAAGGGAGCATCATTTGTATGGATGGGAATGAAACGAGCAACTGGTTCAAAGAAAATGGGGGATTAAATGATTGCCAGAAGTAGAGCTGGTGCCAGACGGATTTTCTTGTGTTGAGCAGGAAAATAAGAAAGCAGATGAAGAAAAAGGTAAGGGGTGGTGGAGAAGATCTAGTTGGGCTTCGGCTTGACTTCTCAGAAGAGGCTTGTAGGCAAAGCTCAGAGTGCAGGCATCCACCCTAGGATAACTGCCAAGACTGAAAGGTAATCAGCAAGCAGGAGGCAGTCAGAAATCAATGGAAATAATCGAGAGGAAATGATGAATTGATGAAATGATGATGTCAGGAGGGGCTCCCGGGCTCAGCAGCCCAACACTGCCCCAAGGAATCCCAGGGTTGCCCAGAGAGCTCCTCGGAAAGCTGAAATCCCAGTGCTTCCTTTGGACAGACCCCCACTGGGCGCTGCTCAATGTCCTCTTGTAGCAGCAACACAGAGCAGTATTGAAGGCAAGAACCAACATTAAGCAGTCCCCAGCAGCTGTGGGGGCTTTGACAAGTGCTGACAGCCAGGAGTGAACACAAAATCCATGGAAGGGACTCAAGAAAACAGCACTTCTCACCTGAGGTTGAATGGTGCCCAATTAACGACGCTGTCCCTAAAAGCTCTTATTGGATCACATCTAATGACCAAACAGAAATAAATAGAGGCGTACAGATGGACCGTTGTGAGGTGCCAAGTGAATGTTGGGTACACTGCTGTTTTTCCAGGGGAGTCCATGAATGTGGTTTGTATGATTGATAAGCAAACAAGAGAAGAGACGGGCGATGGCAGAGAGCTGACTGCAGGTTGGGCCCAGGAGGGTGGAAAAAACCTTCCAGCTTCAGCAGTTGTTTTTTATTTGGTCTGGAAAATTCGACATCGAGTTTGAAGTCGAACCAACTTTGCCAAGGGAATAGAGGGGAAAAAAAGAAAAAAAGAAAAAAAAAAAAAGAAAAAAGGGAATTCAAAGAGGAGGCAGAGAGCCTTTGGCCCAAAAGTTTCCTTCCAAATCGCTAAGTCTATAATTGCAAAATAAAAAACACTAAATCTCAATATCTATTTGCACAGCTCATTAGCCAAGGGCTTGCACTCAGCAAAGAGGGAGGGAAAAAAAAACCCCTCAGCACCAAGAGCATTTGGGGAGTTGCCATGGAAACCATCCCTTCGTAGGGCTCTGCAGCAGCAACTTGCAGATTTGCTCTCGGTTGGGTCTGTCCATCCACCCATCCATGGGCTTCACCAGGATGCAATTTCTTAAAGTCCTTCAAAAAACAAACAAACAAAAAAACCCAACCCCAAACTCCCCCCAACCACACGCGCAGAAAAATGCAGCATATTAGATATATAAATATATAACCTATGTAACTCGTTCCCCTGTTATTTCTCTCCCCCAAACATAACATTATGTCAGACATTCGACCTGCTGTGCTACCGGGACAACATGATTTACAACGTGAAAAGGGAAAACCTAAATCATCACGTAATGAAAACATTAAAGTTAATGCATCACAAGTGAGGAATTTATTACCATTAACTCCAATAAACAGTTATAAACCACCCGTCCTTTCCTGTCCACGCACGGGGACGCGGGCGCAGGGACTTCATTAAGCTCAACTTTCTTTTCTTCCTCACCAGACCGCTCATGTGTGCCCCAATTGGCCACCATTTATTGTTAACTGGACTGCCTCATTTTCCGGGCACTGGAGAAGGTTTGAAGGCCTCATCCATTTCTTTCCACGGGTGGCTCGGCGCAGACAGATGGAATAGGAAAGTTCACGAGACGTGCAGCTCGATGAGTTTATTTAAACGCTGCTGAAATATATGCTTGACAAAAGCCAACTCTCGCCCCGGCTCTGTACGTCGTTACTCAAAGAGGCTGATGGATAAGTAATAACATATGGGCATGCTGTGTGGTTACACCGGATACCAGCTTACCTCAGGGTGCATTTGGCCAAATATTTGCTTCTCGCTGATGTTACCCCACCACCTTGGAAACCTAAACCCGTTATCCAGGCTGTCCCAGGGCAATGGGGTTGGCTGTGCTCGGCATGCGACCGTCTGTCCCGCTCCTGTGCCCCGCAGTGCCTTTCAAGAGGGCTCCAGGGTTGCTGGGATGGGAGCTGCAGGGATGCAATAACACGTCGTCTGCTGGCTGCATCCCACCTCCATCCTGACTGCATTGCTGACACTAAAACACAGCTGGGTTCAACGGGAGCTGTGGGGATGATCCATGGCGCTCGTGCCAACGAGAGAATCGTGGAATGGCTTGGGTTGGAAGGGATCTTAGAGCCCATCCTGCTGTGGGCTGTGTGCACCCCACCAGAGCAGGCTGGTCCCATCCAGCCTGTCCTTGGGCACCTCCAGGGATGGAGCATCCACAGCTTTTCTGGATCAGTGGCTCACCACCCTAAGTACAATCATGACATGAGGACAGTAGAATAGC